GTGAGAGAGAGAGAGACAGACAGAGAGGGAGGGAAGGAGGGAGGGAGGGAGGGAGGGAGAGTAAACGACTAAGGAACGGAATGAGCGAGAGAGAGAGGAAGGGAGAGAGAGAACAAGCAAAGCGGGAGGGGGAGACAGAGATATAGATAGTCAGAGAGACAGGGAGGGAGGGAGAGTTTACGAGCAAAAGAGCGGGGAGAGAGAGATAGAGAGAGAGAGAGAGCAAAAGAGGGCGAGAGAGAGAGGTGAGAGAGAGAGAGAGAGAGAGAGAGAGAGAGAGAGAGGGGGAGAGGGAAAGAAAGCGGCAGAGGGGTCACCCTTCTTACCTTCTCCTGGAGGTCCTTGATGAGAACCTCAAGTTGTTCGTTCCCTGAAGATCCATCTTCGGATGTGGTCGAGGTGGTGGTGCTGGTGGTCGTCTCGTCTGCAATTGCCTTCGGCCTCAAGGAGCGGGCAGTCCTAAGGGGTCCTGTAGCAGGAAAAAAAAAGTACAATCAAGTTCAATTAACATTCATTAAGTAAATGCATACGATGATAAGATCGCATAATATCTTCTAATACCCGGACAAAGGATGACAAGTATTAAACAAAAAAAAAAAAAACAGGACCAGGACCAGACGCAGGACCAGGATGTTTGCATGGACCAGGACCAGGACCAGGACCAGGATGCTTGCATGTACCAGAACCGCGATCTTTGCATGGGTGAACGAGGATGGTCATAGTGGTGGACCGCGGAGGGCAGGATTTCATAGGACCTGGAAAATGCCGCCGGCGCACTATTTCTGCCTTGGCCCGGAGGAAAGTCCTACCCTATAACTCCCAGGACGTAATGTATCTCACCAGAACCACGACCAGATTCCCTTGAAAACGTCTCTCTCTCTCTCTCTCTCTCTCTCTCTCTCTGGCTGTGTGTGTGTGTGTGTGTGACCGGATTACTACTCGACGTGGCAATTCGACGCTCCTTCCGACCGCTGTTGCGTTTTGAGGTCAGAAAGAATGAACCTGGTCGTGAAAGTGGCCATGTTCACTGCTGTATTTGTACTTGGAAAGAATGAACCTCGACGTGCAGTTTGTCAGGTTAAGTACGAGCTCGACCCACGGCCGATCGCTGCTGTGTTTGAGATCAGAAAGAATGAACCTGGTCGTGAAAGTGGCCATGTTCNAGTTTGTCAGGTTAAGTACGAGCTCGACCCACGGCCGATCGCTGCTGTGTTTGAGATCAGAAAGAATGAACCTGGTCGTGAAAGTGGCCATGTTCGCTGCCGTATCTGTACTTAGAAAGCATGAATCTGGTCGTAAAAGAGGCCATGTTCGTACTTTCTAAGCACAGTGCCGCTCGGCTCACTATTTCCGTTTAGGTGAGTGACGAGTTAAGCTGTGAGTAGTAAGCAGGCTCCAGCGTCCATTGTCGAAACCTTTTGCGGATTTTTTTTTTTTTGAAAAAATGAAGGCACTGTGCTTAGAAAGTACGAACATGGCCTCTTTGATGACCAGATTCATGCTTTCTAAGTACAGATACGGCAGCGAACATGGCCACTTTTGTGGTCGCATCTCTTTATTGTTTGCTTTGACGTGCAATTAAAGAGAAAAAGAGGACTTCCTTTAAGAGACAAAAAGACTTTAAAAGTCCTTTTCCAAGGAGGGGGGGGGGAAGGGGAAAGAGGTGAGGGGGAAAAATGAAAAACTCTCCAATAAGCAATAACAACATAAATACTGTAAATACTCTCTCTCTCTCTCTCTCTCTCTCTCTCTCTCTCTCTCTCTCTCTCTCTTCTAAGAAAATCTTCTTTTTTCCTTTTTTTTCCTTTTTTTTCGGGTTTCGTCAAGAGGACCCGGTGCCCAGTCTCCAGTGAAATGATTTTTTTTCAAAGACGAACGAAACGTGATTTATCTTCCTTTTCTTTTCGTCCTTTCTTTTTTTTTTTCTTTTTTTTTCTGTGGCGAAGTACGCCCAGTATTCAAAAGGCTAGTAAAATATTACGGGACTGAGGTGAGAGAGAAAAATATATAAAACTGTCCCCCGATGAAGAGAAGACAGCTAAAAAAAACAAAAAAAAAAAGGCTAGTAAAATGAAAATATCTCAGAAAATTTCAATGCAAAAACTGTCCCCCGATGAGGAGAAGACAGATTAAAAAAAAAAAAAAAACAGGCTAGTAAAATGAAAATATCTCAGAAAATTTCAATGCAAGACAAGAAGAGGAGGCGTACGTTGAGGCCCCGCACCCCCGCTACCCTCCCCTTCGTTTTTTTGTTTTTTTTCACCCTCAACT